GTATTGGTGTATAGGTTGGAAGCAGGGGGACGAGGAGGGCAAGTGGGCCGAGAAGGCCGTCTACTCGCTCGTCAAGAAGCTTAAGAAGCAAAAGGGAGCCGTCGAAGAGCTCGAGAGGGCCCTCTCACAGCCGGGTCAGCCCAGCAAATGTGTCACCATTCCCCGATCACTGGACGGCAGACTACAGGTGTCTCAGCGGAAAGGCTTGCCTCACGTCATCTATTGTCGTCTCTGGCGGTGGCCGGACCTCTCCAGTCATCACGAGCTCAAAGCCATAGAGATATGTCAGTACGCCTTCAGTCTGAAGCGCGATGAGGTGTGCGTCAACCCATACCACTACCAGAGGATAGAAACCCCAGCCCTCCCACCAATACTAGTGCCTCGTAATAGCGGAACCGATTTGGCGTCCGATTTGCCGCTTCTCGACGACTACTCCAACTCTGTGCCCGAAAACACAGACTTCCCGACAGCTCTTCAAACCCAGACGTTTCCTCTCACGGGTGAGTTGACACTTATTTGACACCTTTGTTAGGGTTTGCGACCAAACACTTGACAATTAAACTATAGTTTATTTAAACATCAATTTAATAACATTACAGTACATTAACTGAACATAAACTTTGCACTTAAATCACAGTACATTTGTATTTATTTTCAATATAAGTTGAGTGCATATTCTTAATACAATTCTGTGATAGAATTTATATCTTATTTCAAGACCTGTTAATGTATTGTCATTACTATAACGATAATATTAATATCAAATGAGTTATTTAAGATAATATGTATAATTCGCCCAAAACTAGTGTGTAATTGAAATTGTAATGCATATGAATTTTATATTATAAAATTGAGGGTTATTTCGGGGGCATTGAGTGAGCGTAACGTGATGTTTGGATTTGAGCGTACATTTATTATAAAATAATGTTTGGATACTGTAAACAAAATATTAGATAATATGCCGACAATTGTCTGATTTGTTAAATTGATGCCATTTATACAATTAACAAGGTGAAGATTTGTAATTGTTAATATATTGCAGCACATTGTAATGATTATAATGTAATTTAATGTGTAAATTAGTGAATAGTTATTATTAGATGACATTTCTACAAGTGCTTATTATCATATAAAATATGATCATGCTAAATTGAGTGCTATTTACATGATATGAATGGTGTTGTGTGTTGTGTCGACCCCCACAGAGACCCCACCGCCCGGGTATATGAGCGAAGACGGTGACAATCAGGATCTCAATGGCACCGATAATATGGGTATATATTATTGAATGACTGAATACCACATGTGATGACATGACTGACACTTTGTCTGACAGACACTTCCCTTATCTCGTCTCCATCTCCACCACTGGATGTCCAACCGGTCACATACACTGAGCCGGCCTTTTGGTGCTCGATATCATACTATGAGCTGAACACACGAGTGGGTGAGACCTTCCACGCCTCCCAGCCCTCTCTGACCGTCGATGGATTCACGGATCCGTCCAGTTCTGAGCGCTTCTGTTTGGGGTTACTCTCGAATGTCAATAGGAATGCAATCGTCGAACAGACGCGAAGACATATCGGTTAGCATTACTTTATGGCACCGGAAATGATGTGAAATGACTAACCATTGATTGCTTTGAAGGCCGAGGCGTTCGTCTCTACTATATCGGTGGCGAAGTGTTTGCCGAATGTCTCAGTGATAGCAGTATTTTCGTTCAGAGCCCTAACTGTAACCAAAGATATGGTTGGCAT